AAAATATTTTGCAACCTTTTTTAGTGCTATTGCACATGAAATTTCTTCTTTCCGCTGTCCCAAAACATATATATATATATATATATATATATATATATATAAACTTTAAGTTTTTTTTAGAATTACACAGTACAACGTAGACGCCCACAACATACACGCACACTCACCTCTATGAACACACATACGTAAATCCTACCCTTATGAGCACCTCCGAATGACTAAGTCGACAGTTCTCGAGATTCACGAAGTCATCACGGGCGTCTCGCTGTCGACGGGACGTCACCTACCACTGAAAGCATAGCGCCGTTAAATCCTAGAATAAATCTAGGAAAATATAGCACCCATGTCAAGTCAAGGACTTAAACCCGGATGGACAAGTTCCACCACAGGAAACCCAACCTCGCATAAACTTTAAGTTTTGAGAAGGAACCGGGTGGACGGGTTCAACAAATTAGTATAGTGGAAGCTCAAATTCTGAAACAATAACTGCGCCCTGAAATCGAACGGAAGAAGTACCGTAATCCAACCCACTAGGCACGACGAATAACCCTAGAGCGTGGAACCTCTTCCCGTGGTAAAGACTAAAGACTGAAGAGAGGCCCCTGCAAGGCCGAAGAGGCCGAATGCAAGGTTCATCATGACCCGTCAACAGCTGGAAACGCAAGTTTTGCACCGTACTGCTCGTGAAAAAGGAGAGTACAAGGAGGAAGCATACAAAACATGAGGCAGGGGTACTTTGATCCATACTTACCTAGACGGGGTCTATGGCTGATCATGAAGAGTCATGGCCTAAGTTAGTGGCCTCCATTGCACTTGGGAGGAGCACTAGCTTACCATCTCCTTAAGTAGGAGAGTGGACGTTGTAATTTGTGGCAGAGGAGGTAAGCGTTCACGCCGCCCCTATCAAACTAACTAGAAAGACCGGCACGGCAATTGCTGCGCCCAGCTTGGAGGAGGCCAGCTGCCCAGCTCATTGGATTCTAAAGAGTACTCTAATTTTCTGGCCATCTTTAAAGGCACCAATTTGTACTTATAGTAAAGATCAGAGATTGTTAACAGAGAACATTCTTCTTTTATTCGGAGTGAATTAGTTCGCATATGTTTTATCAGTATATAAGAGTATTTTGGAAGTATGGATTCACTGCGCTCTGAACAAACTGAGATAGTATGATCTTGTCGTCAGTGAAAGAGATCTGAACATGGACTTAAGTAGCTTTCCATCAATCGGCATCTCTGTGGACGAATAGTCACTGCAAAGGACTGAATCAAAATCCAAAGATAATTTCTAATAAACAGCAATGAGTCATAAAATAGGTTCCCTCTATTTACGTAGCTAGCAGTGAAGAAAGTTGTTGACATTTTTTGAGAGTGTCTTGAGTACTAATATGTATTTTCCAGGAACAGTTTATGCAAGAAAAGGCAGGACACATATACCAATATTGCTTACAAGAGTTGGGCTAGGTTCACATGTTCCATCTAAAGTTATTAGCTTATGATGCTTGAAAACGCAAACAAAAATATTTGTGGTGTTCATCTTTACCGATTAAAAAAAAAGGCTGCACCACAAGAGCATCCTACATGAATTTCCACTTTAAGAATGGTGAGGCTATGCATTTAACTATTTTGAGTAGATCAAATAATGAACCAGCCTGCTAAGTTTTCTCATAACAATGTTTGCTTCAGCAAGTATGCCTGTCTGAGTTAGTTGCATAAGACAAAAAGTGTTAACTTGATCTGTTAACTTGCATAGTACTGTTCTACAATGTGGCAGAAAGGAAAATTAGAGTTTATATATCTTGAGAAAAAGTGATTTACAAGGTATTTTTACAACATTACTACCTTTATTGACTCCCACGAAGTGTTGCTACTCAGAAGAATGCAAATGCCTTCTACAGAACTTTGTCAGTTTTGGACATCTAGTAGAATTTTGGTACATACTTCGCCTAGATTAATTCTGATGGAGTATTAACTCTTGTAGAATTCAATTGGAAAGATAGTTGCTAACTAAAAGAAGTGGTGGTGCAATTTGGTCTTCTTTGTTTAAGGTAGACACATTCTTTGATATAAAGTAAACAATCTATAAAGGCAAAACTTTTTGATAAAGTGTAACTCTGTGATGCATTATCTTGAATAATGTATTGAAATATGCATGAACCATTTGAAAGTTGGATTGCAGATCTATTGCAAATACTGTACTATCAAATTCTGCTATGTTTGTGCTTCACTGACCTATAAATTAAATTAAATAAGGTAGTTGCAAATTTATTGTTCATACAGAATAAAGAGAAATGTCAATATGGCTAATGATGTTTTTCCTCACAATTTCTGTGTAATTTTTAAACGTTCAATGCTGCAACAGTAGCAAAAGGGGAAGTTTACAGTGCAATCAATGTATTTTAAATATAATTGAAAGACAATAGCTATTCAAGCGAACACTTCTATTAATGTTGTGTAAAATATAACTGAAAGGCAATAGTAAACTAAATAAATCTTTGCGTTAACCAATAATATCCTTGGAAGTATTATTGTTGCCTGCTTAGATTTTTGAACCAGTTTAATCTTGTATCGCACAAAGAAATGTGCATTCTCAACAACACTCCAAGTACTAATAGCCCGATAAAACATATATTATATTTCAGTTTTTGAGCAAGCATCGGTGAAGTTCAGTAAAGAAAGTTGAATGTCACAGTTGATAAAACCTTCAGCGCTGCTTATCCAAGTCACAGCGCTCTGAACGGTCATTTCATCGAACAATCTAGTGGCGTAGCGAAGCAGCTACAGTAGGAAAGGGGACAAGGCGACAATGGAGTTGGCTGAGGTCTTTGCCGACGATGGCAATCGAGCGCGGAGGCGAGGTGGATCTGGGCGGCCATTGGCCCACGCCTTACCTCCGCCGTGGTTGCCCCGGTCGAAGAAGACCTCAACGCCCTAGCCGTAGATCCGGACGAGCACATTATGCAGGTCGCCCTCGCCGCCGAGCGAGGTGATGCAGAAGACGTCGTAGGTCATGGCGCCCTTGATCTAGGACATGACGAGCACGCTGGGGTCCACCTCGCTGCCCCAGAGGTCGTCGGCGAGGCGGTGCAGGATGCGGTGCGCGTCCTTCGGGATCCAGTCGATGCTGGTGTTCTGCTTCAGCGCTGGCGCGGGAGCCGCGGCCTCCGCGCGTGGCGGTGGGTCGACGACGTCCATTGGCGGCGCGCGGAGGAGCACAAGGAGGAGGAGGCGATCTGCAGAGAGTCGGGAGAGGTGGGGGTGAGCCGCGTGCCGGGTGGCCCGAGGCGAAGCGAAGGCGACGAGTTTTGGGTCGCGAGACTTCGTGAGGTTTCGGGTCCGCTTTGAAACGGGGAGGACCCGAACCGATCTGCATCGAACGGCCCTTAGCACGAGCTGGGTCGATCCCACGGCTTGCTGTTTTGCGGGCGACATGTTTTGGTGCTAGAATAGTATAAATTATTTTTATTTTATCATTATTATTATTATTATTATTATTTATCGTATATATATTATCAGCCTGTTCGTTTGGCTGTGGCTTGTCGTAAACGATCGTAAATTTTTAGTCAGAACAGTATTTTTCTCTCACACAAACCAGCCAGCAGTACTTCTTCACGAATCAGCAACGATATGAACCAACCAACCGAACATGTTGTATATATACACATGAGGCAGGGATCTCATCCTTAATTCCTAATGCGTAGCTATATGGGCTTTGGGCTTCGACTCTTTGAGTCCAGGTAGAGGATGGGAAGTGTCATCCAGGTCGGCAAATGTCAAGCCTGTCAAAAACCAAAATGGTCCTCAGCTATTCAGCCCATCAGCCTGGCGTGCCGAAGAGCATTTTAAATACGTTTTCACATGGTTTTACAGTTGAAAGGCATGATATTCTTTATTGTTTCAGTAGAAAAAATCCAGAGAAGCATCTTCTTTCAAGCAAAGTGAAATTTATAAGCTATATCCAAAAGGCATCATCATGTACAAAAGCTTCCATATGTCAATTTTCAATTTATTATTATTCGTTCATACTCCCTACATTCCAAATTATAAGTCATTTCAACTTTTTTGAAGAGTCGAAGAATTTCAAAGTTTGACTAAAATTATAGAGAAAACTATAAAGATTTATTATGACATCAAATAGGCATACTTTAAAAATAGAATTAATGAAGAATCGTGGTACTTATTTGGTATCATATTTTATCTGTATAAATTTGGTCAAACTTAAGATGTTTTCACTTTCCAAAAAAAAGTAGGAATAACCTATAATTTGAGACGAAGGGAGTAGAAGAAATGCAAGAACATCGGCATTCTCGATGGATTCACTTGTGCATACAAGAATCCTACCCTACCATCAATCAATACACTAAATGATGGAGTGAATAGATAGACAACTGCAACTTATAGCACTTGATCGAACGGGGTGTTTGGATCCAGAACTAAAGTTTAGTTCGTGTCACATCGGATATTTGAATGCTAACTAGGAGGACTAAATATGAGTTAATTATAAAACTAATTGCACAGGAGTAGACTAATTAGTGAGACAAATCTATTAAGCCTAATTAATTCATGATTAGCGCATATTTACTGTAGCACCATATTACTGAATCATGGACTCATTAGGCTCAATAGATTTGTCTCGTAAATTAGCCTCTATCTGTATAATTAGTTTTATAATTAGTCTATATCTAATACTCCTGATTAGTATCAAACATCCGATGTGATAGGACTAAAGTTTAGAAGGGGGTATCCAAATACCCCCTAAAAATGAAAATAGAGCAAGAGCTTTATGTTGTTGTAAAAGAAATACTAATCTGTCCCAAAATTACCAATTTTAGCTAGCTTTGCTAGGGCAAAACATGGATCCCGATTCACGGATGGACGACCACAAACATGCCGGCCCGGCCCGGCCCGCTCGACGCTCGAGTTCTGCACACACTACGGCTGTGGATACGCGCTCCGCCACTCCAAAGCCTCCCTTTGCTCTGCTCCCGCCACCGCCCCTCACCATGGGCAGCGCCGTCGCCGCCTCGCAGCCTCCTCCGCCGTCCGGCAATCTGAAGCAGGACGAGCTCAAGCGCGTGGCGGCGCACCGCGTGGTGGAGTTCGTGGAGCCCGGCATGACGCTGGCCCTGGGCACGGGGTCCACGGCGGCGCACGCGTGGGACCGCCTGGCCAACCTCATCCGCACGGGCGCGTTCCCCGGGGTCGCCGACGTGCCCACCTCGCTGAAGACGGAGGCCCACGCCGCCCGCGTCGGGACCCCGCTGCTCCCGCTTGAGGTCGCCGCCTCGGCCTCGGGCGCCGGCGGCATCCGTCTCTCCATCGACGGCGCCGACGAGGTCGACCCGGACCTCAACCTCGTCAATGGCCGCGGCGGGTCGCTGCTTCGGGAGAAGATGGTCGAGGGCGCCGGCGAGAGGTTCGTCGTCATCGTCGACGAGTCCAAGCTCGTGCCCAGGCTCGGGTGCACGGGCATCGTCCCTGTCGAGGTCATCCCCTTCAGCGCGCCCCACGCGCTCGGCCTCATCCGCAAGGTGTTCGACGGAGTGCCCGGCTTCCACGCCAGGCTCAGGACGGTCCCCGCCGCCAAGGGGGACGGCTCGGACGCGTCGTTCCTCACCGACAACGGCAACTACATCGTGGAGATGTTCTTCGAGGACGGTATCCGCGGCGACCTGAGGGATATAAGCGACCGCATGCTCCGGATCACCGGCGTCGTCGAGCACGGCATGTTTCTTGGCATGGCCACCACCGTTATCGTCGCCAAAAAGAACGACACCGTCGCAGTCATCAACAAGAAGTAATAATAATCTACAAGTAGCTTGTATGTGTGCGTATCGTGTCCGTGTGTGATCCAGCTTGCCTAAGGGCAGTCCCAATGGTGTATTGATGATGGTTTCTATCCTCATTAAATAACTTGTCACGTAGGCAAAATGCTGACATGGCAACGTAATTAATGAAGAAAGAGAGCAAAAATACTAGAAATGGTTTCCTCATGAAGAAATCAGGTCTTCTCTTGACCTAATGCACCAAGAAACCATGAAATCGCCATTGGGAAGAAACCACCAGTTTCCAGGGGACTCGTGCCACACTCCCATTAGAGAAAGAAGATAGAATTAGGAGAGAGAAAGAGAAAATAATTATTACATAAAGACACATTTACTGTGGAAGGTAGTTTCTATAGATAATTTCTTGTGCTATGGAAACCGCATCAGTTTCTTCTATTAGGACTGCCACGAGTGTCTGCTCATTAGTCATTACCGTGGTGTAACCATCATCTTGGTGTTATCATCTCGTATCTTTACTACTAGTGATTCCAATATATCTATTTATCGTCCTTCCAATATTATCACACGTTGCTTGTGGACTTCTAGTGATTCTCATACTACTACCTCCAGTCAATTTAGGCCTGTTTGGTTTCTACCGGCGTTTTTAAAATTCCTGTCACATCGAATATTTAGACATATGTATGGAGTATTAAATATAGATTAATTACGAAACTAATTACACAACTTGCGATTAATTTGCGAGACGAATCTTTTAAGCCTAATTAGTCCATGATTTGACAACGTGGTGCTACAATAACATGTGCTAATGCCAGATTAATTAGGCTTAAAAAATCGTCTCGTAAATTAGCCTCCATCTATGTAATTAATTTTATAATTAATCTATATTTAATGCTCTTTATTAATATCTAAACATTCGATATGACATAAATTTTAAGAATGACTAAAGAACCAAACACCCATTTAGAATTAAAGATTGACGTTTCAGACAATGATAGTGACTTGCTTCAAGCTTATTATATAGCTGTCTGAAATGTCAGCTTTTGCTGATCGGAGGGAGTATTAATTAAACCAGCTACTTTTGCAATTGTATATTCTAATAGATGGAGCTGTTTTATGCTAGTGAATCACCGGATTGTAATTGTTGCTGATTGAAACAGTACTAGTCTTACTTGGGATTCCCAGTCTCGATTGTCTTAAACACTCCTTACCCATATAAGTACTTTTATGACATAAGCTGTCCTGTTTCTGTAGGTTCAGTTTCTTTCACACAGCTGTCCAAGAAACCAGCCGGAAACTAGGTTCCCGGATGAAAAACACTGTTTACATCCTCACAAATTCTTTAAGATTCCTCTAAATTCCTCCCAGCGAACAGGGCCTAGATTCGAAGTTTTCCTGATCCATTATGTATCTAATAGCCCAGGGGTAGATGGGTGAGTTATCCGCTGTTCCATCACCAAAGCACACATTCCTAGTGTTTTGTGCATAAATCTTTTATTAATTTCTTTCAGTATACTCTGAGGATCTGATATTCCCTTTGAATTTGAATGTGGTACACAAATTGAAATTTTATTATTTTGTCTGACAGACAATCAGAATTCATGTTTGATTCCATTCCTGCATATTTATTGGAAAAATTTAAGGTTATTAGCTAGCCCATTCTGCTTGCAGAAACTCACTTGAGGTCTACTTTTGTTTGTGTGATGACATTAGGAATTAACTGCTGGTCCATAGATTTGGAAGGACAGAATGCTGAGCACAGTATTGCTCCTGGGCCTTGATGCAAAGATGGCTGAAGCACCTTTCAGGCTACTGGCAGTTATGGAACTGTGTAGTGCTCATGTGGTAATTCTTTTGTCCTCAAAACAGATGTGGACCCTGTGCTCGCACTATTTTGCCTGTTTATTTCAGTGCCATGGGTGAACTTGCAAAGTGCCAGGTATTCTCACCAGTTAATTTCATTGACAGTAAGCAACTCGTAAACACTTGAAGGGTACCATTGATACACATATATATACTTGCTTACGGGAATGTGCTATGAAATTGCAGCAAAAGTTAGCACAGATACTGTCCCACATTACCAAGATTGCTAAAGAGTTCAATGCTGCTGATCCAAGATTGTTTATTGATTAATGAGTTTCACTGATCTGGGTGGTCGTATGTTCATAGGCAATAGCTGATCCCCAGAAACCAGCAGGTGGGCGTGTGCCTGTGTATTGGCGCATGCTGCCACCTCGTGCTGAAGAAAGGCAAGGGCGAAACAGCATGTCTGCAAGATCTTTGATGCCCCTAGCCTTCCCGAGGGAGAAGCTATATCCTTTTGCTCTGATGATCCATGTTAATTGCTTGGGGTAGGGCGTGCCTTAATTTCACAACTTGCTAAAATCTAGCTAAATAGCTTTGCTTAGACTGGCAATCACAAACTCATGTGATATTGAACCTTACCTGATAAGTGATAACTGCCTTGTCTGAAAGCTTAGATGATATACATTAGCTTTTCGCAAAAAAAGAAAAAGAAAAAAGAAGATGATATACATTAGTAATCTGATGCGTAGGAGTTGTTTCCCTTCCGAAATCCCAATAGCACGTTTTCCAGGTCATATCAGGTAGAACAATATATGCAGAAGGCTGATTATCTGCTAAGAGTACTTCTGTCCCAAGATTGTTCCTGTTTTTTGGTCGATACATTGGTACATGAAGAAATGTTAGAGTTTTTTTTTAAAGGCGGCAAAAGTTTTGCCGTATTTTTATTAAACGAGAGAATAGAAAAAACTCCAGAAATACAAGACAAAACAAGGAGCCGGAGCTCCAGCTACTACGACTAGCAGACCAGAAGAGGAAAAACACTACTGCTACTGGATTACAAGAATAATTTAACTCACTCCACTCTAGATCTAGCGATTCCATGTAGAAACTAGCATTATACTTCACCGATTCATGGTCTTTTGGCGAGTTGATATTGTTGTATGTCATCTTTGCATAGCAGAGCTACTTGTCTTAGTTGTAGAGATTTTTGTTGGAAAACTCGTCTATTTCGTTCCATCCAAACGTTCCACCAAAAATAAATCATTATTCCGTCTATCTTCTTCCTCTGACTTCGGTCAAACTTTGCACGGCATTTGCACTTGCACCAGAAACCATGTACCGATCCCGTGGCTACCACTGAGTCCATTGCCGATAGTTGCAGCCACTGATTCAAATATGTCCAAACTTCTTTTGTAAAGGGGCAATCTCTGCATAGGTGGGTTGGTGTCTCAGGGTCAACTCCGCATAATTTGCATAAAGAATCATTTGCCCAGTTACATTTGATCAAATTGTTGGCAGTAAGAATCTTCTTGTGAAGGAGTGTCCAAGCGAAGAAACGGCATTTAGGTTCTGCTTCTGCCTTCCAACAGCCTGTTCGCTTGTTGGTTTCAGCCTGGGCTTATCAGCCAGCCAATGGTGTTTTCCTCTCACAACAAACCAGCACCAGCCGGACTTATTAGCCCAGAAATCAACCAGCGAACAGGCCTCAAATCGGCAGCAGTTTCAGTTTACTATATTTTCCTTCGAATTGGATAGTGTATGCACTCTTAGTGGTATATTCGCCATCCGGCGTCCAACGCTATCTGATTGTGTCCTCCATGCTTTCATCTAGTTGAATTCCACGTACTTCCTCCCATAGCTTGACATATTCATGTAAATCTTGAGATGTTTGAAATTTTGAATTGGTAGGATATGCTTTATCCATCGGTTATCCTTCTGCGCCTTATGAACTGATAGCTTTTTCCGCTTTGATTTCTGGTAAAGCGTCGGCGCAATGTTTTTTGGAGTTGTACCCTCGATCCAGGATGACGTCCAAAAGCTAGCTGTGTCCATCTCCTATCGTCACCACAGTTGACGCAGCAAAAAGCTCGCGATCTCGCCTGTCGCAAGGGAGATCGAGCCCATTCCATGCCCGGTCCTCATGCCTCCACTGGAACCACGACCACCTCAAAAGAAGTGATAGAGTAATGTTACTCTGTTTCATCTTTAGCACAGAAAAATAGGCAAACTCTATATCTTGCTTAGGCTTCTTATCGGGTAGTTTATTTTTATGTTTTGCATGAAATTCAGGTTAAATCAATTGTATGGAGAAGATATGTTTTCTTATTAAGTGAATGTAATACTGTGTTCTTGGCTTCCCAATAGCTAGGTGGAGACCATCTACTAAACAAGATGCAATGCTGAAGCCACACCGATGACCGCCTTTCAGTTTGGGTTGAAGATGCAGGACGGCAGGAAGATTAGGGAGCAGAACAAGGGCCAGAAGCTCACTAATGACCTCCACAGGATAAACAGGATCCTGGCTCGAAGGGTGAGAAAGATGGGGCATATGAATGGCTGTCATTATGATGATGATTTAGATTTACCTAGCGCAAAGAAACAACGTGGCTGAAGTTGGTCGGTCGTTTTCTGTTTCTCCAAGCAGCGTTGTAGACTTGAATGTACTATAGTTACAGTACCATGTTTAGCTGGCACCTGTGTTGTGCAGCTTTTGTTTAAAAAAGGGGCATTTGTGAGACATGTTCAGCTCTTGAGCTGAAACAATTGAAAAAAATGTATGTTAGTCTTATATGTAACCTTTTTCCTATATATATATTGAAAAAAGAAAGGCGAAGCTCTATTTACAATGGAATCAGCTATGTTATCTGTCCGAACTCCGAAGGTGAGAGCTGAGAATACCTGTTGCAGTAATGCATAGGAGCGGGTGTCCGTCTGTCCGGACGCCGCTTTCCGAGCCTACGCATATCGGTCCAACAGGCTTGTTTACTCTATACGTATCTCACCTCTCTCTAAAATATCTCCCCATCGCTCTCGCCCATCGTGTGCTGTTGTGTCGTGCGCTCGCTGCTGCCGTCTTCCCCGCCACGCACCCCATCTTGCGCCGCGCAGCTCCCCCGTCCAGCACCGCGCCCCCTCCATCGCCACATTGTGCTCCATCCCCCGCCGCGCCCGCTCCAGCTCGCTGCGCGTGCGCGCCCCCACTGGTGCGCACCATGCCCTATCCCCCGCAGGGGCCGAGGTGCTACTGGGGTGCTGCCGACGTCGCCGTTCCCCACCAGAAGGTCATGGCCGCTGTCGATGCCTTGGCCGCTGCGATGCGCGACCTCAGCAATGAGAGGTTGCGATAAAAGCGCATGTTGCAAGTGTATGTTTTAAATGTTTCAGACGTTTCAGAGGTATGTTACAATTGTTTCATATGGATGTTGCAAAAGTAGATCCAGGATGTTGCACATATTGCATATGTTGCAAGTGTTTCAGAGACAAGTTGGAAGTGTGTTAGAGGTTTGTTCAAAATGTTTCATCTGTTCCAGACGTATGCTGTAAATGTTCTGATCTGGATGTTGTACATGTTTTACACATAGGTTGTAACAATATGGTCCAAATGTTTCAGCTATTTGAGTCTTATGTTGCAGTAAGAGTTTTCATGTTGCAAGTTGCAAGTGTTTTACCTGGATGTTGCATATGTGCCATACATATATTGCAAGTGTATGTTTTAGATGTTTCATCTATTGCATACGTATGTTGTATTTAAGTGTTTTATATTGCATATTTTTCATGTTGTTAGAGTCAGGGGGCGCGGGGAGCGATGGTGGCACGACGCGAGCATTGCGCTGCTGAATACTTTCTTTAGCATGCTGCTTTGCAATGGTTTCGTGACGTTCGATTGCTCATATAAGCCAGCCATGGTATGTATCTTTCTCTCCCAACAAATTAGTCGTACAAATCAGCACAAGCGACTTATAGACCAGCGCCGAACAAGTCCTTCATCTAGTTTTGGAAATTTCCCCTGCTGCTTTTTTTACATGTCTTTGGAACGGATGTTATGTTTTTTTGAAGGGGTTTCTTCGGGCTATTTGTAAAATACGGAGTACTCCTAGTTTCTATATAAAAGGGCTAAATTGAATAAATACAACCCACCACACCACCGCATCACGTGTCCAGGTTTCCTTCAAAGGATGAAGGGTCCAGAATGAACTGGCACGCACACGGCACACGTCAGACCAGTTTTGTCTCTGATAAAACACGTCAGCGCTGATGTCACCGGTAACTGCCCTTGGCGGCTTGGCGGACTCTTGGCAAGCGTTTACTTCACTGCAAGGCTGCACCTGCGCACACCTCCTCACTCTCGTCCCGATCGCCACTTCAACTTGATCCATGGCCGACCACGCGGGCCACTGCAGCAGCAGCAGCCAGGACAGGCGGAGCCATTTCCTGGTGGCCGCGTACGGGTACCAAGGCCACCTGAACCCAGCCCTCGCCCTGGCGCGCCGCCTCGCGCGCCCCCACGGCGGCGGCGCGCGCGTCACGCTCTCCGTGGCGGCCTCCGCGCACGCCCGCATGTTCCCGTCGTCGCCGCCGGGCCAGCTGGTCGTCGCGCCACCCGACGCGGAGGTCTCCGACGGCATCATCTCCTACGTGCCCTACTCCGACGGGTTCGACTTCGGGGCGCGGCCGAGGACCGCCGCCGACCGCGCGCGCAGGCGCCGCGTGAGCGCGGCCAGCCTCTCGGCCATCGTCCGCCGCCTCGCCGCGGCCGGGCGCCCCGTCACGTGCGTCGTGTCGGCGCTCCTGCTTCCCGCCGCGGACGTGGCCGTGGAGCACGGGATCCCGCTCGCCGTCTTCTGGAACCAGTCCGCCGCCACGCTCGCCGCCTACTACCACTACTTCCACGGCCACGAGCACCTCGTGGCCGCGGCCGCCGCCGCGTACGTCGGCGGCGCGGATGACCCGGCGAGCGTGACCCTCCCGGGGCTGCCACCGCTCCGGGTCCGCGACCTCCCGTCCTTCCTCGTGGACGCCACCGGCGGCGAGCATGCCAGGGCTAGCATCGACTCGATGCGGGCGCTGCTCGAGATCGTCGGCCGGGAGAAGCCGATGGTTCTCGTGAACACGATCGATATGCTGGAGCCGGAGGCCGTCGCGCTGCGGGCGATGCGGCAGCAGCACCTGGAGGTCTTCGCCGTAGGCCCGATGCTCCCTCGCCTGCAACTGCTGCAGCAGACGGACGCAGCTGGCGATGACGAGGGTCGCCGGATCGATCTGTACGAGCAGGACGACGAGAAGGGCTACACGGAGTGGCTCGACGCGCGGCCACGCAGGTCGGTGGTGTACGTTTCGTACGGGAGCATGCTGGGGTACAGCAGGCAGCAGGTCCAGGAGATGCTGCGGGGCTTGCGCGAGTGCCGGCGGCCGTACTTGTGGGTGGTGCCGAGGGACGGCCGTGACGGCGACGTGGAGCGCTGCTTGATGGAGATGGACGACGACGACGGCGACGGCGAGCGAGGGATGGTCATGGAGTGGTGTGACCAGCTGAAGGTGCTTGCGCACCCGTCCACGGGGTGTTTCGTGACGCACTGCGGGTGGAACTCCATGCTGGAAGCTCTGGTCTTTGGTGTGCCTATGGTTGCCGTCCCGAATTGGTCCGATCAGCCGGTGAATGCGCATTTGGTGGAGGAGCTGGGGGTCGGCGTTCGCGCAGAGCGTGATGCTGCAGGGTTGCTTGTCGGAACGGAGTTGGCAAAGTTCATTGCGGTAGTGACCGGTGATGGTGATGAAGGAATGAACATACGGAACAGAGCTAGTTTTTGGAACCAGATCCTCTAACTTCACCCTCGATGACAGCAGAGTGCAGTCGAAGCATCAGGACCGTCAGCTGCGGATCGGACGATAGCTCTGCAATTCCCTGCAAAAGTGACATGGGCTGCACGAAAGCAAGGCCCATCGTAGCCCACGGGTCCTGCCGAGGGCCGCATCGTCGCCGCTCTCATGCCGAGCGGCACGCCTTCGCCGTCCCAGGCTGAGCCGCCTGAGCGCCGTCGCCGTCCTGGACGCTGCTGGGCTGCAGCGTTTCCACCTCGCCCACGTCCTGCACACCTTATACCAGTGCGGAGCTTGAGTTTGGCTAGCTGCAGACATGGCTCCTGTCACAGGAGCTTTTTCAATTGCTGATTGTTGCAAATTCAGATATGCACATAATGTTCTGGTGTTCTCTGCCATCCAGTAGGTGTATATGACCTTATTGCTGGTTATATGAACTTTACAATTCTCTGAATTTCAGGAGGCAGAAGGCATTCATACAAATTTGCAAAAAGATATTCAGAACGCACCAAATATCCATGCTACTAGCATTCAGCAATAACATTGATTGCCCCCTGCAAAATAAAAGGTTCAGAAAAACAATGTATGGTTCAGAGAAACAGTCTATCACTTTGAAATTTTACCGTTAATGCTTTGAAACACAATTTGTACATCTATTCATTCATTTTGATAATTCAGTGGTCACATTCTCACATGTTTAGTCACAATATCTCTTTACAATCTCACAATTCTATGTAACCACTCTGCTATTGAACTGCCAACAATCAGCTCTGCTATTTACAGAACATTCTGAACATCTGAATAACATGGGACACACTCTGAACATTTGACAGCCTAAAACTGCAAGGACGTCAAGAATATCCATGGCGCATCCATGCAAGAAACCCGTTCATGCTCGCAAGCAAGCCTAGCTCTCGTGTAGGCATGATCTACTTGCCGTGAGCCCACGGCCTGCTGCTCGCTAACTTCGCCGGCACACGGAGCAGACTAAGTCGAGCATTCAAAGGCGAAGCATGGCGCGGCACACGGCAGTGAGCGGCGGCGCGGCAAACGGCGGTGAGCAGCAGCGCGGCGCCTAGGTTCTCGTCGAGGGAACTTGCGGATGCGGCCGCAACTCGACGAGCTGTCGACAGCGTGGGCTGTAGTTGGGCCGGACCGGACTGGAGGCTGTGAACGCACCCGTAAGTGCTAGCCAGATGCGCGGACGTCCGATTGTGAAGGAACGACGATCCTTCATCGACTGCACCCGGCAGTCATCCAAGTCGAAGTTAGAGGATCTTGTTCCTAGTTTTTTGAAAGACAAGGTAAGAAAGGAAGTGATCGAAAGTGGCCTTACGGAATCCAGACTGCAAAAGTTCGTCAATGCAATGCAAAATTCAACGTAATTCCTCTGTCATTTTGATTTTTTTAATACATCACTTTTATCATATTGCATATTTGATATACACCATATCTAAATACATAATCAAAATAATATATATCTAAAAAAATCAAAGCAGAGGGAGTGGAGGATGAAACCTGCGACCTCACGTGTTACTACTCTAACCACTCCATCCTAAACTAACTTATGTTTGTATAAGGTGTTCTTTCTCCTCGTACAATCATATTATATTCATCCAATTTTGACATTATCTTTTGGAACCCAAAATGAATTCAAACGAAAATATTAATTGTTAACTACAAGTTGTATAACTTTTTGAGATTTGTAGCTTTGGTTTTGATTGTTTCTCGATTGAGGTTGTTTGAAAATTTTAAATTTTAAATATGAGAAATTTAAATATAACTTTCCTTCGATAGAGGATTCTAAATGAAAAAATCTATCAACTATAATACAAAGTTGTACAACCTTTTGAGATCTATATCTATAACTTTGATTTTTATCATTTCTTCGTGTGAGGTTTGTTTGAAAAATTCGACTTTCAATATATGGAGGATTTTAAACTAAATTTTTTGAGATCTACGACTTTCTGTAGGTCGTCAGAAATCTAGGGCCCGCGTCCGCCTCCGACGACGATGTCCCCAGCAAAATCCATGTCAGCTCATCCAGCACTTCCGAAGGGAGAGGCTTACCCTCCAACAACGGGTCCCCTGCGCCAATATATTCCCACATGGGGGTGGCCCTAGCCTTCAGGGGCAGCACGCGACGCGACAGGAACGTCTTGGCCACGGTTGACGACACTGACCAGGCTGCAGTGCTTCTCAATACAGCCCTAGCCTTTCGGATTGAGGCCAGCAAATGACGCATCCAAATCGTCAGCGTTTTTCTTTCACAACAAATCAACATATGTATCAGCCTAACAGCAAATCATCTGCAATCCGACATGTACTTAATTTTATGGTGCACTAGAACTAGAGCTAGAGAAGAGTTGGAGAATTGGAGGAACGTGGAAGAAGCGAGAATCGAAAAGGAGTCTTTTTAAAAAAAAAATAGGGTGGTAAAGGTTTTGCTCCATGTTTTATTAGAAAAAAAAACACATGTTGCGGTTCAGTTTTCTGGGTGCCAACTGCTAGGGTATCAATATTGAATAAATCTAGCTAAAACTTAACACAACTTCTAACTCGGGGTGTCTGGTTTCCCCCTTTAAAGTTTAGTCATTGTCACATCGGATATTTAACACTAATTTAAATTATTAAACATAGACTAATTTGCGAGATCGAATCTATTAAGCCTAATTAGTTCATGATTTGACAATGTGATGCTACAGTAAACATATGCTAATGATGGATTAATTAGTCTTAATAGATTCGTCTCGCGAATTAGTCATAGCTTCTGTAATTAGTTTTATGATTAGTATCCGAACATCTGATGTGATACTCAATGTGACACTTCCTAAACTTTAGTCCGGATCCAAACACCCATAGCAAATGCCCGTGTGTTGCTACGGGAGGTTCAAAACTTTCAATGCAATAAAAGTACATACGAAGAAAATAGTGGGTCAGGAGTTTCAAATTTTACCACGTAATAAGAGTATGGAAAAAATAGTGATAAAAATCAACAGATAACATAAAAAAAGTCTTGAAAAATCAAAGTGAATATGATAAATTCATCCAAGAGAAACAAAATTAACTTCCTAGCATCACTACTAGAATGACACTAAGAAGTATTTTGGTATTTTATTGTGACTAAAAAATAATATAAATATATAAATGAAGAGTTCTATAAGCGCACAGATACTATACCATTGTAGCATTTCACACAGGAGTATTTCAGTTATTGTTATTTATATTTTTATCACAGGGAAGGACAAACAAAAGGAAATATATTGATAACTTATACGTATGATGGAGAGATAAACCATAACCAATCTTCTACTCAGGACAGTGATAAATCAAGAGATAAAGATAATATTAATGATAAGTGATAAATGATAATTGAACTCCTTTAGATGGCACTATAATGGCTAAGTAGATACAATAGAGAAATAATTTTTAAGTCATTCTTAATTACAAGTCAAAGCATACTATGATTAGTGCAATTATACTTAATAATCATAGTTAAGATCAACTTCATATCTACACGTAAGGGATATTACTAAGAAAGATCAAGAACAGAGCCTGACTTCCTTTGCAACTAAATCCTACTTGACCCATATTCGAGGAGTGGACTATAAATAACTCAACGAGAGTGTCACACTTGCGATCTACCACATGGCCTAAAATATAGGGTGTATCCATAGGTAAACAACATATAACCACCACGATTACACAATGTCGACCACTCACCCCGTGTACCTTAGAGCGAGCGCTATACAAACTTATACTTGAACATAAAGATAATCGAGCTATACTAAGCATATAATCATAGTAGACGATGAACATAATAACTAAGAATATGAATAACATTGAGAATAATGTCGAATCAATTATAGCAAACATATGAATAATGAAAGATACAAGAGAGAATACAAAGGCTATACCAAGCCACGCTCTTGACAAGATCAGGAATCCAAGCGAAGCTTGCCTCCCTCTAGATCTAGCTTAACTGCTATGCCCTAAATATTTGTGGAACTATAATGTTCTTCTCTTCTTGATCAGGGTTTTAGGAGGAGATAATGATTGATGCCTTAGGGGGTTGGGGCTGGTATATATAGGGGAACCATCAATCATGAGTCATCGGATCAAACCAACTTAAAACAATGGTGTAGATTGATCCTAGGAGGCGGTGAAGAATCGACATCACGAAGAGAGGCTGACATGTGGGCCCTGGGGGCCGGCTGGCCCCACCTAACAGCCACTTTCCCTCTGCCGTGGTGGGTTTCCTTCAGATGTCTTCTAGAGTTTTCTGAAGTTAGTTTCATCGTGGATAAGCGTGATTAAATTTGACGCTTAGGTCCACCTTAACGGTTTTCTAGATAAACCCTACTGAAACACAGATTCACCAAAACTTGTGGAATTTGTCAGTTTAAACCCCTAAACCTATGTTGATGGTGCATTTATATAAGTTACATTGACGGTCTGTGATGGGTGTTAACTACCGTCGACAATAACCCAAGTGGACTAAAATCAAAGTACAGTACTAATAATATCTCATATCGAAGTGAGCCAAAATCTGAAAATCATAAGATCAAGTGAAGTAAATTCAAACAACAAAAGCAGTCAGCAGCACCTCCCAATAGCCAACGGTACGTGACACTGAATAGGTCTACACTAAGTTTGCCGATCAAGGTACATGACATTAAGCTTGCTGATCAAAGTACAAGATATTGAGCTCATATAGGTGAAGTACTGAACCAATAAAATTAAGCAGCAGTAGGCAATGGTACACCCAACAGTAGGCAGGATAAAAACAAGCCATGAGGCACCTCTGCTCGCCTACAATTTTGGAAGAGGAGGAACAGCATTGTATTCAGCAATGATCGTACTACAATTCAAGGAGCACTGATGGCATGCAAGACTGAGGCTCATCTCCGGAGAGTGCAATTGCCGAAGAAAGACAGGGAAGTTGCTGATAAATGGTGTTCAGTATTAGTTAACTTCTCCCTCTCTCTCTCCCCCCACACACACAC